AAGCGGACAAAATCCACTTTCTCCCGCAATAAGTCGCATAGAAATTTTGTTTACTTCAACAAATGCTTTTGTTTTTTTTTTCTTTTTCCTTAAACATCTAGGTAGATTTTTTATTTTGTAACGAAAGTACCAAATTTAGCTTCCTAATTCCCCCCTCCAAAATGACTCAAAAAGGCCACGATCATATTGGTTAAATTAGGGACATATATGATGATGTGGGGAAGTTGGTTGTTTGGTTTAAAATGGGGTAATGATGAGGGTTCACACCAAATATCATATGTTTATCCATAATCCAACGTAGACTTGACTGTATATAATCACCAGATCCACCTACCTGTTTTTTGTTACATGTTATCACATCAAGTATATATGTCCCCTTTTTACTCATAAAACAAATATAAACATCATATTCAAATAAACAAATTGATAAAGTGTGTATAATCATAGCATTAATTTGTTTTATTTTAATTAAATTAATTAAAATGATTGACTGGTCTAGAATAAGAAGACAAAAATGTTAAGTCTCAATAGTTATTGACGATTTGGATAAAGTGGTTAAATTTAAACGAAAATAATAATAATATATATATATATATATATATATATATATATATATATATATATATATATATATATATATATATCATGGTTGCAGAAATCGGGATTAATTGGCGATTAATCGTGGATTAATCGTTTGGCGTTCTCCAACCGTCGAGGATTAGACCATTAATCGGAAATTTAGGATTAATTGGGTTTGGCGGGATTAATCGGTCAACAAAAGTCAAAAAAATTTTAAAAAATTTTAAAAAAAATCAAAAAACCAACTTTTTTTTTACTCCAAAAAATTCAAATTTTCAAAATTTCGAATATTCTATCAAAATGTTCATATTTTCGTATTTCCAAATTACAAATTTTCTTATTTTCTAATTTTGAAGTACTTTTTTTTCCTAAGATATATTAATATTTAATTAATTTTAATATTTTATTAATAATCTATGGTCCCCAATTAATCCCCGCCAGACCGATTAATCTCTTAATACCAGTCGACCGTCGAGCTACCGTCGAGCGATTTTTACAACCTTGATATATATATATATATATATATATATATATATATATATATATAGTTTTTGTTTAAATATGTTATTAAGAAACATGATAGCACATGGACGTCTTACAAAACTATGGCTCGATCTTAAGTCACCGCAATATGATTATCGAGGTATGTATTAGTGTACAAGTTAATATTAAAACTTGAGTTGACCCGACCAATCTTAATAAATATTAAACAAGTAAGGAAGATGTTGAGTACACATTTATTTAAGTTTGATCAAGTTTTAAAGTATACTGTCATTTAGGGGTGAAACCCCTAAACGAACGAGAGTCTGGGTGCAGCGCCCCTCGCGGGGTCCAAGGGGCAGAGCCCCTGACTGGGGTCGAGCTGTTATAAACTGTCTTTTGACAGTTTGAGTAGTTTTTGGACAAAGAAAACTGCATTGACAATTTTCAGACAAATGAAGTATTTAAGTATTTTGGTCATAATTTTCTTGGTACAAATATAATCACGAAAATCATAACTTCCATATTCTTTGTTCTTGAAACTCTTCTAAGTCTTATCCGATTAAAGGTTAGGAGTACCACTCAGATACTTTAATCTGAAAGTGTACACACGATTATCAGAATTTCCAAGTCTTTTATTACACTGAATTTCTAACATATTATTTTCAATAGTTTTATGGTGAATTGTTTCACTAGTTGTATTTAAGTGTAATAGATTGACTTGTTGACTAAAATCAATATCGATGAATATTAAATAAGTAAGGAAGATGCGGAGTGCACACTTGTTTAAATTTAATTAAGATTCAAAGTATATTATCATTTAGGGCAAAGCCCCTAAACAAACGAGGATCCGAGAGCAGCGTCCCTAGGAGCGGGGTCCAAGGGGCGGTAGCTCCTGGCTGGGAAATTTTTTTATTTGTGTTATATTGTTTTGTTAAAAATGCATTAGAAATCCGAATTATTGAATATGAACCTGATTTTTTTGACTTTGTTTTTATCCTTATTAAAATGAACGTTTTTTGTGACATAAAATTGTTTTGTGACAGTTTTCAGACAAGAGAGATTTTTAACCATATTTTGGTTAAAATTCTGGTACTCACGAAAACTGACACTCTCATTCTCTTTTCTTGTTCTAAAAAACTTTTGAGTCTTATCCAATTGATGATTTAAAAATATCATCAAAATACTTCAATTTGAAAGTGCTTACACAATTTTCAGAATTTCCAAGTACTTTTACCTCCAAATTTCTAACATTCATAACTTATATTCGATTTGAAAGTGTTTTCACTACTTCATACGCTCTACATTGATCTCATTATTCATTGTTCCTTGAATCGTCAATCATTTCATGTTAAGTAAAAAAAAATATTTAATATAGATACTTTATTTAGTAAACAATGGATATCAAATGGATTCAAATTTTTAGATACTTATTCAAAATGTAAGGTGGACTTAACATGTAATTTTTTCATGAATATTTGAACTCCAAAACATCTTGACATTCAATGACCAAAAGTTTTAGTTTTTGAACTAATATTTCCACTTCTTTTATTTGTTGTTAGGTTGAAGAAGATCATAATAATAACATATATTTGAAAGATTTTCAATAATATGTGAAAGTCCACTAGAAAATACACTATTATGCATTGTAGTTATAGAATAATCATTCATTCTGAAAACCGGGTTGACCCGATGGTTCAATCGATTGAACCGGTTGACCTGTGACCCGTTCATCACGCTGGGTAAATTAGAAAACCGGGTTTTAAAACGTTGATTAAAACCAATTGCTAGTTGTAAAGTTTCTACAAGTTTGCTTTATAAAATAGAAAATAGTGTGCAACAATATCTTACATAGTGTTCGTTTGAATGTATCGGTTCGATTTGATCCAATCAAATGAATCAAAAATTGATTTCAGCTTTCAACATATAGATTCAAATAGTTCGAACTAAATTAAATCTGACCCTTACAAAGCAAATACATTTATATATGTATCTTTAACATTAATACGTTTAAGTTGTAAAGTTTAACTTTAAAAACTATTCAATTTTCTATATATGTATTGTTTGAAATAATAATCAAAATTCCAATATTTTATTTGAAATAAAATAGAATTTAATTAATTATTTTATTTGTTGTTATTGTAGGAAATAAAGATCATGGTTGTAAGTATCAGTGGCGGACATTAGTGGAGCCCGGGTCCCGGGCCACTGCTCCGATTCCGACAATTAGTTTAATTTTTTTCTGTAGTTCTGAAATATGAGTGTCACTATTAATTTAGATTTGTTTGGAAAAAAAAAATTGGGTGTCACCCCTACCTCAAACTCTCTGTGTCCGCCACTAGTAAATACTATATCTCTTGTAGTTCATATATTGGCACGTGTTATTGGAAAGATTTGTAAAAGGTTTTGTGATTGTGATTGTGATTATTTCATTGTAGAATAAAATCTTTTGTGTTCAAAGTCCTTGAAGATTTAGATTCGTTATTTCTAGCTATAAAAAATTAAGTTTTTTGTACACATATGAAGGCAGACTTTCTATAATATTATTAAAGATTTATTATAAAAGTAAAAGTTGTTATTCGGTTTTTAAGACTATCCGATTTTCATTTTACTACCCAAAACAAATCCAAAATGATAATTCGGTTTTGGCAAAACCAATCCAAAATTTTGTATATCAAAACCATTTAGTTTAATCAAAATGATCTATTTGGACAACTCGGTTTATCCCATACAAAGTAATATTTTTGGACCGAAGCCCATGGGCCTATGATATCACCGACATAATCTGGCTATGTTGACAGACTTGGTTCCCAAGTTACTAGGTCAAACTAAAGTTCGGAGTCTTAAGACTGGTTTTGATCATTGTAGCCCGAAGCATTATCTACCCCGAAGACAAAGCTCAAGTGATGAGCTCCGTAATCCGCACATGTGATTCAGTGTTTGGCTTCGTTGTCAAGTCTTGAGACTTCTTTTCTAACTTCATCCGAAGCTCCACTTCTAACCTCATCCATAGTCTGCAGCTTTGCTCTTAAAGCTTCACATATAAACAACATTCAACAACTACACCAAGTGGCTTCGCTAGGTGACCAAAGCATTGCACCAACAACTTCGTGAAGTACCATATGTTACAAAGTACAAACCACAATCCATTGGTACATGCTTTTATCAATCGATACTGTTTGGACCTAAACCCACCTATTGTTCTTTTTACCATGATATTTTTTTCCCATTTTTACCTGTAATTTTACGATATTCCTATAAAGCATAAACCAAGAACATTCTTTTGTTTGCGTGTTGCTTTTGAGGCCACAATGGACCCACAAAAGTCCTGTTAGGTTTTCTTTACAGCTGACCAACATATCATACTTAGAATATTAGGTCAAAAGAGATATTTAATAAAGAAAGCATTTGATTCATGGTTTTTATCAAACCAACCACGTGCAATCAAAATAACACACTGTCAAATCTTCTACGCCTTTTGTTTTACTCTTTTACCACCTGTCCTTCAAAAACCATTGTTGCATAAGCAAAAGATTTTCCCCAAAACAATCTAAAACTTCCAAGATCAATAAATTAATAAAAACCATAAAAAAAAGCTACCAAAGAAACATATTGCAAAGGCAACAAGTCATATTTGATCTAATGATATAACTGAGATTCAAACTACCAACAAGAAATTATTTGTGCCAAACATAACATACCATACCATGAAAGAACAAAGGCAGAAGATTCATATATCTACAATCTTACACTACCATTCTCATTCTTTTATCTTTTTTTTTTTGTTCCATATACTACAAATTTATTTATAAAACAGGTCCACAAGGACTAAAATAAATCAAAAAAACCCAACCAAAACCTAAACCCTAAGACCCAACCCTTCACTACAACACCAGTCAAACTATCCAAAGTCAAACTCATACAAGTACTCCCTCTCTCACTTAAAACTGGCAAGAAGTCCCCAACCTCTGTCTCAGCCTCTGCCCGACAACGCCCGACTTCCGCTGCCCGAACGCGGGCCCCAACAGCTCCTGAAATTTCTCCAAAAATATCCCCCACTCCTCCTCTTTCATATCCCCCAACTTCACAAAACAAGCACTCCCCGGAGCTTGCTCACTCGCACTCCTATGTTCACCTAAACTCAAATTCTTCTTCAACAACCTCGACACACAATGTACATCTCCCGATGCGCAAAGTACAACCTCCTCCTCTTCCTCTTCCTCTTCCTCTTCAAGTTTCGAAAGCGGGTTTCTCCCATACCCGAATTGAAACGGAGAAATAGGGCTGATGTCATCAATCTCAAACACAATCCCATCTTCTTGAACTTGAACTTCTCTTTTCGGAGATGATAAGACAAAGGGTTGTTGTTCCCGGTGTTTCTCCCGCTCAGCCACCACCGCCCGCCTTGCCGCCATGCACAGTGCCTCGAGTTCGCTCGGCTCCTCCTCCCCCCGCCGGAACTCCCGGCTCATCATCTCCCCGATCTCCGCCAAACACAGCCCGAATCGAGCGGCTTCTTTTAGGAAAACAGTGGAGAGGATAAGAACACGAAGACACGCTTCACGGATCATCGGGAGCTCGGATTTCAATATTTCAGAGTCACGAAACGGATCGAGTGATTCGATGTAATCGAGTTCATCTTCCGAGAATGGAATCGAAGATTGTGGCCAATGAATCCATTCAAAATACGGATCTTCTAAGTTTTCAGGTAAACAGAGTCCGTGATCAATCGGGATTAATTCAACTTGACCAAATTGCCCTCCACCAATTCGAACCAAAAGATTCCCCGCGTGTCGGTCCGTGTTAAAGATTCGTATGTCTAAAATCCCGATACGGTGCACGGATGAAACCGGGAAATTTGAAGTCCCGTGATCACTCGCATCGTAATCGTGTGAGATAAATTGTTGGAAAGAAGCGATTTTGCTGAAATGTTTCTTTTTGTTCTTCTCTCGGGTCCCGCTTACATCATTGACATTGAAGATGGAGTGAGTGATTTTGACAAGGGCAGTAGGGGGGACATTAGCAAAGTGGTTGTGATCAAGAAGGTAAGCTGCTACCTCACGATAACCGGTTTCACCAACACGAACTGACCTTTTTAACCCTGGTTGACCAAGGGCTTTACCTACAAACCCTTTTGGATTATTGGGTGCAAATGGTTCTTCATCTGTTGGTTTCACAATTGCGACACTTTCACCATTGATGTTTCTGAAGTAATAAGCGCCACCTAGGCCTCCATGAACTGGAATCGGGTCGATTCCGTTGTTTAACGCGATTGCAATCTCCTTCACGAGTTCTTTAGTTTTTGTGAAATTACTAGAATGCCCCAGGATTTCAATGGGTCCGGATCTGTCTCTCTGTTGGATGTCTCTACCTGAAGGGGAAAGACATGGGCTTGAAGAGCTTCGGTGGATTAAGTTTCTTGTTAGGAGAAGAGGGGAATAGTTGCGAATGGCGCTTAAGTCGTTTTTCAAGATTAAATCTCCAAAAGTTAAAGAACTCTCTTCGGTTGGGACATTGAGGGCGATTTGTAACCTTCTTTTGACCATATGTGCGTTATCGTTTCGATCCAGATCCATTCCTAATACGCATCCGCTTTCTGTTTGAATGAAGATACGTCTTCTACCTGTGGTTTTCAGTTTCACTCCTTCCATTGTGTCGTTTCCATGGTGATTCCTTCCTACAGGACTCTTGAAAACTGATAGAGCCATTTGTGTTTGAACTGGGCTGTCTAGGTTACCAGACATGAACCAGTTGCAGAAAGGGGGTGATGGGAGCGAGGGTGAGGGTGAAGGTAGCGGAAGATGAAATCTTCCACTTCACTCTCACAAGTGATTCAGATCCTGAAGCTGGTTGCAGGCTATTAGCAGAGCGTGAAACGTAAACAATCATTAAACAGCAAAATTGAGTTTCATTTTGACACCATCCATTTGATCGAATCAAGTAGGTGCAGTTTCCCCTAATCTGTACACAAACATCAACAAGAGATATAGAATTCGATCAGAGAAGACAGAGAAGAGATACGATCTCATAGAACTATGACAAATAACGAGATCAGAGCCAATCGAAATGAGTGTTATTCAGATAGATTAGCATTCGAAGGTTCATGTTTGCATTTTTGAAACAAATATTCAAAGCGATAAGTCAACTTTCCGAGATCTGGAACTACAAATTGATACTGTTCCTAAATCAATAAACCTTAGCGCGAAAATTCATGGACAACAACTGTTACGGAATTGAAGTGTGCACGAAAAATGATCTAATAATTCGAAGAAGGTCAACATTAACAGACGAAAGCAGGTCATCAGCTAAACCGAAGATAAGATCACTGACGACATACATGTTTACATGCTTAGAAGACGTAAACATTGGGGAAAAGGAAAACAAAGTAAACGATACGTTTGCAACAAGATGAACAAAAACCCTAAGTAAAAAAAACTCACCGATGAACCAGATCTGCAGGAGATTCATACACGGTTACAGAGGAAGAATCGAATTCAATCCAATCCAATCCAATCCAATCAAGATCCGGATAACAGAATCAATCCGAGAGATAACATGAAGGAAAAAAGGGTTTTTTACATCAAGATTCACATAATAGAAACCCTTTCTTCTTGTTGTTACTCGGAGTTCAATCACTCTCGAGTCTTCTTTCTCTAAAAATACTCCCTATCGACTCTGTCTCTCTCTCTCCGTATCTATATAGAGGTGAGGGCAGTGATACGTAAATTGGGCACCAAAAATTCTTTTTAACTCCGGTTTTTGAGGAGTAAAAGCCTAGAGGGTTAAACATTAGTTACAACTTACAACTAAAGAAAACCAAATATAAATTGCCTAACTTTTTCATTTATTACCCAAAATTTCTTAATTATTATTATTTATTTTTATACCAGATTGATTGTGTTTTTATGTATTTTTCCATGTTCTTAATAAAAATCATTTCAAAAAAAATATATTTTCTTATTTCTGGAGTCACTACAGACGAGCTTCCATATCAATATTAAATATGTGTCAATAAGTTGCTCACCATATTTTCTATATGTTTTACCAAATTATCACAACCTAAAAAAATTTATCTTGATTTTTATTAAAAAAAATAATTTTTCAGTTTCGTAGTAAACAACGGCATATCACACTAAAACTTTTTTCAAAACAATATCCTTTGAAACATCAGTCATTATTAATATTTTACGGTGGGTACTTCATAACTGATAGTTATATGAGAAAATTTTAAAACAATTTAGGCTAGTTTAAGAAAAGAAAAAAAAAACTTAACTATTTTTGTCTTTTTCTTAATAAAAAATATTATATTTTATTATAAAACAAATGAAATATTTAATTCGATACTTTTAATACAAATTGTTATAATAAGAACATGTCCTAGTCGATCGATTATGAAACTGAAAAGTTTATAATTAATTTTATTTTAGAATATTATATGCTTTTGGATTCTTTTAAGAGTGTCAATTATTTATATGATCTCCTGTTAATCTTCCATGATCTTTTGTATGGAAGGGTCTGGAAGGAGGTGATACGTCCGTTGGATCAAATACGGGAAGTGATCTGAGCCGTTGGGAGGAAGTGATAAAAGAATGGTGACGTGGAGATAAGGGATTGGAGGTCAACGTCAACATAGTAGTAGATTGGTCATTGGTGTGTTGTTGGCTTGTTGCACAGGTTTTGTGCCCTCACTCTCATTGTGTGAATTTTATGAGATTTTGACCATCCCGTTTTAAGGATATACGAAAATATTTTTTTATACAAGTAAACTGGATTTTGGTCATGTAATATACTTTTTTTATTGATTTAAAAAAAATGTAGCTTAAAAAGACTATTATTTTATTTTTTATTTAAATTTTTTTGATTTTATTATAACAATTTAATTATTTATATGTCGATTGTTTTTTGGGAAATTGATTAATCTAACATTTTTAGGTTGTTTTTTAAAAATATAATCTTTATTTTTTTTTTTGCAAAATGACAACTTGGTCCGGAATGGAGTATTTCGGACTTGATTTAATATTCAAGTAGATAATTCCGACCCGGTAATCTGGTTTTCCTATAAATACCCTTTAACCCGTTTCGGACTAGATTTCGTCATTCTCTTGTTTCAGATTACCTTACATCCCATTCCGGACATTTCTACAACTGAAAATGTTTTTTGATAGCAGTGAAGAAATGCAGTTTTTATATGTAAGTTTCAAATTTGTTTCTAATTATATGCATTTATTTTAGACTATACGTTAAAACATGAATAGTTTACGCAATTATATAGGTATTATAGGGTTTTTTGTGAATTTTAATCGTGTTAAGGCAATTATAGGATTACATGTGCTTATACATTTATACTATATCATAAATTGTTATCATTTCCTAATTTTTCGCTATTTCGGAACATGTCCGGAATCCGAAAATCATGCTTGGGGTACATAGAACTCTCCAGAATACAAGGAACTTGTTCCGGAGTTTTGATACAGAATTTATGGTTCGGACTACCATTCCAGATTTTTTTGTCCGGAATTTCGTTCCGGAACATACATACAAAAATCCTAATTAATAATTCTTTTGATTGTAGCACGATAGAACATATAAAACAGTTGTTACTACAACCTGCAGACCAGAACTTGGGCTCGAAATCATGGCACACTTACAAAACTGACCAGTTTGTGGGGTGATGTTTAGGCAATCATGTTTTGGTGATTACGTAAACATGCACATGGGTGTCGAATGTTAACCTTTACTTTGTCACTATCTTATGTGCATGAAGTTTACTACTTTTGATCCAGTTAACCTATAAGAGCTTCTATTTCTGGTTAGCGACTATCGGGGTTGCTTTGACAGGAAAGCATTCTGCTTGGTCACCGGCTTGCGGTTCGAGGATTATTTCCATCCCAGTTCTGGTTTTGCAGAATTCAGAGAACGTGTGTTTCCATTTGTGTCGCTTTAACGTTTGGTGAGTGTGGATGACCTTACATACATGTTTAATAACTTACTTCATCAATTAAGTAATGAAGACGTGGTGAGAGTCTCCCTGTTGTATATGCTAAAGCAAGGATTTTTGGGGAAATGCCCTCGACAACTAGTTACTAATGAACGTATGACACTTGTCTCTAATTTACAGGAGTTTAACAGGTATACAGTTTTTTACCCACGTTATATGAAAATGATACATATACTTATTAAGTGTGATTTTTTGACATAGGTACCCATGGGGCAGATTGGGGATTTCACTTACAAACAATGCGTACTGTGTTTGATAAGATTGAGGACCATTTGAACCCAAATTCGCCAAGAGTCAGCAGTAGACACACATATACTCTACAAGTATTTTGTCTATGCATTTAAAGTATGTACACTATGTTTAATAAGAGTTTTTAAACAAGAAGTATTGCAACTTTGTTAAGTTGGTAAGTTGTTTGACATCTTAATTTTGTAGATTTGGATCATGGAGACATTTCCCAACAGTAGTATAGCTGGTTCCCCTATACCAGGTGTTATCCCTCGCGCAGTTGCATACCCTAGGATGAGGCATTTGCAGGCACCTGATTGTTAACGTATTCTCGATATTACTAATGTATGTAGTTTAGTCCACCTTAAAATTTATAAGTTTCTATGACATAAATAACTTAAGATTAACCTTTATATATTGTTTTTATCCAACGTCCCCCCAACAAGTTGTTGCAGCCTACTATGCAGGAGCGTGCTGCTTTGTGATAGATTGAGAGTGTCCAGTGGATTGATGTTGCAGATTACACTAATGTTTGAGTTATGGTTTTCTTTGTCAATGTTTTAAAACAATTTCATTTTGAAGATGTAGCAAGAACAAGTTTATCCTTCCGAACAACATTTTATAGAATGTTATGATATCGTACAAACATCACTAAGGGTTTTTTAAATCAACAGTATCATATTGTTGGCTACCTTTTTTATTAGTATGCCTAATCTTAGACTTAACGGTACTTTTGCCACTTGACTTGGTCCTACTTGAAGATTCACTTTTTGTTGACTCTGCGGGAAACGAAGTGTCGCAGTTTCTGCTTGTGTGACCGATCCTTTGGCAACGACTACATTTTTTATGAATTAGACCTTCACATTGGGATGGGATACGGTTATGGTTTTTAGGTCGTCCGGTTTGTCGTTTGTCCATCAATGGTGGCAAAACAACCATGACTTCATCCGGTTCTTTGTATTCGGCTAGAACTGGCACAGGAAACACAACCTCTACATATGTTGATCGATATATTTCCATTGTGAAGTGCGATGACACCCATTCACTACAGTGTTGATATCTCGGTTCCTTAAATACCGCCATAGCATGAGTACAAGGTATACCCGACAATTACCATTTCCCACACATGCAGTAACGACTTTCCAAGTTTACTATACCATTTTTCATTTGTTTAATTACATCATATCTACTTTGATCAATCTGGTATACCCAAAAAGCAGAAGATTTGTTGATCTTCTTCTCGATGACCTTCTCAGCATACTCAGTAACATCTTTTTTGCTTTCAACATTTATGTATATGTTGTCATGCACAGTAAATTACTCTACAATTATCATTGAAGTATTACAATACAGGGAAACACTTACCTCCAGCATTACGTCGTTGGCACCACCATTGTTGCATAGTTGCTCGAAGGAAATAATCAACATTGTTATTGCTAGTGTGCATCTCTTGATAATGTAATGACGGACTCAACACTATTTGATGTCATAATATTGTACCGAACCACATGGGAACAC